TGACACGTCTAGCACTTCCTTTCGGAATTCCCAACATCTCGCTTCAATTGAGGCCAAATGTAACATTCTTCAAAGCTTGCTATGATCTTGTCTCTACCCAAGTGTCCACTAAATCCTCCTCCATGTGGGTCTCAGATTAGCTTTTCTCAAAGTGATGTCTTGGGAATACAAAGACAATTTCCCTTGAATAAGTATCCCTTAGTGACATGAACATCACTAACATGATGATTCTCTTTACATTTACCCCACATTTCTCCAAAATCTTCATATTCTTGGTAAAGCTCCTTCAAAAACTCAAATGCCACAATCTCATGGGTCAATGTAACTAGCAAATTTGCACGACGGTTCAACGCATCTACAACTCAGTTCAAAGTCCCTGACTTTTGCCGGATGGTGAAAGAAAACTTCTAAAGCAATGTAGACCATCTGACATACATGTTGCTTAGGTGCTTCTGACTGTTGACGAATTTTAATACATGATGATTTGCGTATAGGACAAAGTCCCATTACACTAGGTAATGTTCCCAATGCTTGAGAGCTCGCTCCACCGCATAAAACTCTTGGTCATAAGTACTCCACTTTTGTCAGGCTTCACTTAGCTTTTCACTAAAGAAAGCCACTGGCCTCTTCTCTTGTGAAAGAATTGCTCCAATTTCTACACCGCTAGCATCACACTCCACCTCAAAAATATTTTCGAAGCTAAGTAGAGCTAATATTAGCACAGTGCAAAGCTTCTCTTTAATTAAAGCAAAGCTCTTCTCAACATCTTCTCCCTAAAAAAGCTTCCCCTTCCTCGTGCACTCTGTGATTGGCACCATGATTGAACTAAAGTTGCGGATGAATCAACGGTAAAATGTTGCCAACCCATGAAAGCTTCGAACATCACTAACAGTTTTTGGCATTGGCCACTCGCGGATAGTTTCCATCCACATGAATACCTTATGAACTAACCACATACCCAAGAACAATAGACTACTTGTCATGAAATTGCATTTCTTGAGATTAACAAAAAACTTGTTCTCATGCAAAACTATTAGCACTTGCCGCAAATGCTTTATATGGTTTTTTTTTTCAGATTTGCTATAAATTAGGATATCATCAAAATAAACAACTACAATTTTTCCAGTAAATGGCTTCAATAATTGATTCATAACCCGCATGAAAGTACTAGAAGCATTGGAAAGTTCAAATGGCATAACCAACCACTCATAGAGGCCATCCTTGGTCTTGAATGTCGTATTCCATTCATCTTCCAGCTGGATTCGAATTTGGTGATACCCACTTCGTCGGTCAATATTGGAGAACCACTTTGAACCTTCAATCATATCAAGCATATCGTCCAAATATGGAATAGGAAATCTGTACTTGATGGTGATTTTGTTGATAGCATATATGCCGAATTCTATCTTTCTTTGGCGTCAAAAGAGCTGGAACGACACATCTTTCACGAATATGCCCCTTCTGCAGTAACTCTTCAACCTTCTACCTTAAAATCTCATTCTCCTTTTTGTTTATCTTGTAGTGCAGTAAGTTTGGAAAATTAGCTCCCAACACAAAATCAATCTGATGTTGGATATCCCTCATCAGTGGTAGTTCATCAACGGCGAGCTTTTTAAACTCCTCAAACAATGACTATACCTTCTTTGGAGTTGGTACCACTACTTTCTTCTTTCTTTCCTCTACTAAATCTTTGTCAGCCATCACATAAATTTCTTTTGAAGCTTTTAAATTTGTCACAAACTCAACCTCTGAACTAGCTACGGTGAGAAAAGACTATCCTCGTACTTTAGGTGATTTGGACATTATTTGTTGTGGTGAAGGAACCACAACAATTTTATGAGTCTTCCACAAAAACAAATGACATCCACATCAAACTGCCAAGGCCTACCCAAACATATATGACTAGCATCCATATAAATTATATCACAAACATCTTCTTTGTAATGCTTGCCAATGGAAATAGGGACTCGACAAATTTCAATTACCTTCGTTATCGAGTCCTTCTTGATCCAACCAATGTTGTAAGGATTGGGATATGTCTCAATTTGTAGTTTCAAGTGCTCCACCAGTCTCTTTGGAACAAATCACATACTTTCTAATTGACTGAATAATATGATCGAAAAAAAATATTATGGTGGTGATTAAAATCCTTCGTCTTTGGTGTGAATAAAACTCATTGGACCACACAGTTGACTCGTTCTCCATCCTCTATGGTGAGCTTAGCCCCATCATATGGATCATGATCATCATATTTTGCACCCTCACTGGCTTCATAGTTATCATCTTCTTCCACTAGGTTGATTGGCTATTGCTCTGGATAGACATTTGAATAATGGCCGAGTTTGACACACCTACAACACTTTTTCATTGTCGGCTTGACGTAAGAATTAGGAGCTTCTCTAACTGTTGAACTTGTTGCCTAGTTGTTGCCTCCGTTATTAGCACCCTTGGGTTGGCTTGCAGCAGTCAACGTTTGGACCATTTTTTTCTTTTCAGAGGTTGAAAAAGAAGAATCCATAGTTTTCCATCGATAATCTAAATATGTTGGCTTGTGCTCCAACAACTCAGCTTTAAGAACCATGTTGTGTGCTTCCTTCATGGCCCGCAAAACTACCAAACAAATATTCTCTTGAATTGTTTTCAATCCATTGAGATATCTAGCTACTCGTTGTCCTTCTGTCTCATTTAGATTATTGCGATCTGAAAGTCAAGAAAACTAGGTAGTGTAGTCAAACACAAATTTGGACCCCTGTGAGTAATTTTGATAAAGCTGGAACAAAAATTGCTCATAGTCCAGCAGTAGTTATTTGTCCATGAGAAGCTGCTTCATCTATCACCAAGTCCAAATTGGGTCCTTTTCTTGTCATTGTCTAGTTCTTTGTAATTGGTCCCACCAAGCTGCAACGCCTCCCTTTAATTTGTATGCAACTAGTTTCACCATCTTTGACTTTGAAACCTCTATCATCTCGAAGAACCATTCAACTTCAGAGATCCAATCTAGGAAATCTTCAATATGTTGATTTCCATTGAATTTGGAAATATCAATTTTTAACCGATAGTCATCGATCCATAGTTGTTGTCTCCTTGGTTGACGACCTCCGTACTCCTCTTCAACCTCTGGCTTGAACCATTCACTGTCTGATTGATACCAGGTTAGACGTCTCAAGTTGTTTTGGATAAGATGGCCTCGAGCAATTCCTCTGACGCAAACTTTGTCTCGGTTAATTGGTTGGCCTTGGGCAACTCCCTCAGCACATGCTCGATCAACCACTAGTGGTCTATTGTTGGTGTTGAGAATCAACCCACAATCATGTCACAAATCTCGTTCAACTGCCGTTGTCTCTCAAATGCTTCCCACAAAGCACTGACCCCACGATCACCGTTAGTAGGGTTTGTGTGTACTTTTATGTCTTGTGCCATTGAGCTAGCTAAATCTTTGCTCTGATATCACTTGACACAGTGGAATGCACACAAAACTAGATATTGCTCTAGTAGACGAAGACCCTTGAATATACAAGGAAAATAGAGTAACTTAAAAATTATATTCATAAAGAATGTCCTTGCCTTTAGGCTTATATGACTATTTATACCAGATAAAGTCTTGGCCATCAAGCATACTTGGAGATCAAGTAATATAAGCAACTAATTAACTAGAATAGTACTAGTCTTGGACGCAGTATACTTGGAGACCGAATGATACAAGAAAGTAACTAGTTAGAATATTCCTTGATCACCAAGGAAATTATATTCTTTAATAGAAATTCTTGGTTGCCAAGTAAAAATTATCAAAAATTATCATTTCCCCTTTGGTCAATAATTTGGTTTCCTTAATTTGTGTTTGTCTAATTGCCTAAAAAAATCTACAGTCTCTTGTTCTACATAAAAAATTGAAGATCATCTCTCTCACCCTTAATCCCTCCGGCGTCTCTCTCTCTCTCTCTCTCTCCCCTTCCTGTGTATGAGATTGAAAGTTTTCTACTCAAGTTTAAGACTTAAGGAATTTTCTATTTTGTATTTGTACAAAGTGACTTTTGATATATAACTCTGTAGGTAGTGAAATCCAACTGGCTTTGTATTATTTGTATTGCAAAATGTATCTTGCACAAATATATGTGAAATCCAGCTAGTTGATTTATGGGGAATTTGTTCAAAACCCTCTCATAATAAAACTTTCATGCATTAAGGACGAGCATTAAAAATTTTAGTTGACACACCACTATTATCAAAATATCCTTAGTGACTAATTTAATATTTAAAAATTTAAAATAATATAAATTTTAATCTAAATGTCGCTTTTTACTTTATCTCACAATAAAATTTTACTCTAATTCATAGTATATTTTATTTTAAAAAATTATTATTTAAATAATGAAATACCATCATCATCACAATCATCATAGTCACTGTAATTGTTAATAAGCAGTTACAAAAAAACATAGCTTTAACCAAGTAAAATGAAATAATAACTTTAATGGAATAAAATTTTACTATTAATTTAAAACAGAGCATCAACAAATAATAGACAGATTACATATTATTATGGCAAACCAGAGTAAAATTTTACTCACTTTTAAATACAGCATCAGCAAAACAAAACACTTGATACATATTACTAGAGCAAATCAAAGTAAAATTAATCTAATGGCAGCAAAAAGACTATCATTTGATCAAATTCGATAATAAAAAAAATTAAAAAAATAAAAAAACAATCATAATAAACAAAATATACATGTTCAATATTCACTCTTATCTGAAAAAACTTCAATAATTATGTACTCGTCATTAGAATCAAAATTGAATTTTTTTTTTCACAAATTCGGATGACTTTTAAAGTTGATGATCTATTGGGAATACGAACTCTATAATGTGTATATAATTCCTGCATATTTTAACTGAATTATCTATTAGCAAGAGCTGATGATTTATTTCCTCAAACTTTTCATGTTGACACATACTTTCATGATGTCTCAATGATTTATTTTCTCAAAATTTTCATACAGGTTTTGAAAAGCTATCAGTTTTGAGAAAACTGGAGACTCTAAATCTCGAACACAACAAATTCAATAATAGCCTTTTGCCATCTTTGAGTGCACTTACATTCCTTAAGACACTTAATCTTGGTGGGAATAAATTTGAGGGATTATTTCCAGCTCACGGTATCTTCTTTTGTGTCATTGTCTCCGAAAATTCATGATTTTCTTTTTAGTCAAGAAATTGTTATCATAATTATAATTACATAATCATTCTTACTGTTTTATATTGTTAATTGTTATTACAATGTTATAAGTTCATGACTTTATTTATTAAATATTGTTATTATGATATTTTTTTGGGCAGAATTGGCTTATTTGGGGAATGTGGAAACGTTGGATTTAAGTTCTAATCTAATTAGTGGGATCCAAGGTAAAACTTACAACTTCCTGAAACTTACATTCCTGCCTCAAGTTTTCAATTAGAAGAGTAGAAGAACCATATGTCATTTGTAGATTTTGATGTTAGTTACTAAAAATAATGTACTACCTTTCCCATCCATTTGCATTGTAATCACTAATTTGGTTCATAATACCTCAGCAATATTATGAGCTGAACCATAATCTTGATAGGTAGAAAAGCTCCTCCTAATGTGGGGAGTTGAGTCACTGGAAGTATACTCATTCATTATCATTATTTTCACCAATAATTCTACAGACGCAACTGATCATAGAATCTACCGTAGAAAATATACTTTGAATGACATTAGTGGGGTAGTCTTTTTAGTTGTGGGTCCCACGACCTAATGCATATGGTCATATTTATATATGTTTAATCTATTATGTGAGATAAAATAATGTTTTATGTGACATTTAGGTGCTGTTTGATAAAATTAAAAATTAAGTATTAAAAACTGAATACTGAATTTTTTAAGTTAAAATGCTATTTGATAAAAATTTAAGTACTGAATTAAAACAATTTGTTTGATATGTATAATATTAAATTTAAAATTTATTATTTTTAAATTATATTTTTCAATTTATATTATAGAAGTGAGTTGGCAGTGGTGGTGGTGGAGACAACAATGGTGCCTACAGCACCAATGACAATGGTGGTGTAGATAGAGAGATAGTGGTTGTTGTGATGGTAGAGGGGTAACGTAGTAGTGATAAAAAGGGAGTGATGGCAGCGGTGTAATGATGGTATTTATTGTGGTGGTGGTTATGGCAACGGTGACAATGGTTGTGAATATCAAGGGTTGTAGTAGTTTTTTAGTGTTGGTGGTAGTGGTAATGGCAGTGGCAGTGGCAGTGGCGACTGTGGTGGTAGTGAAATGATGGTGGTTGTGGAAGGGTGGTGGGTGGTGGTGGTAGCGACAGCAGTGAAGATGGTGATGGTAGCAGGGGCAGTGCTGATGATGGAGGTTGTGAGGTTATAATGGTGTATCTTGATACTTATGTGTAAGTATTTGTAAATTCAGTCAGAATTAAAAAAGCTTCCTATCACTTAAAATTTTCTTAATTTTTAGCTTACATTTTAAGAGTTACTTAAATTTTTAAGTGATACCATTTGTGGTTATCAAACAAGCTTAATTGATTTTTACTTAATATATTCAATTTTAAGTGTTGAATTAGGTTATCAAATACCACTTTAGTGTCAAAAAGCTATTTTACTCATTTGATAGCAATATACAACAATATATGCATATAGTGATAGTCTTAAATATGAATATATAAGAAGTGTCATATGGAAAGTGTCAGACATATATCTCACACCCTTGTTCAAGTATTACGTGTCCGACATTGGTATTTTATTTATTTTGAGGGGTCCATGTAGCTTAATTTCTCCTTCAACCATTATTTACCTCAACTCTTTGTATTCTCCAGAATATATTATTTGGAGGACAACTCACTTTCTTCAATCAACTTGATTTTCTAGGATAAACTAAAAAATGACAATGATCTTTAAAAATAAAAAACTGAACCAAAAGTGGTAACTATGAACATGATGGATTATCATATGTTTTGTTTAATGTCGTTCTTTTAACCTTACAACTTTATTGAAAGATAGATCGAGTTAAATTAGCATTAACTAATATGATCATAGTTCTATAAATATGAACATAAGTTTACAATAATTTACTGCAGGTTGTGAGACCTTGTCAAGATTGAAAAAACTGGAGACTCTATCTCTTAGTGACAACTACTTCAACAAGAGCGTCATTCTATGTTTAAGTCCATTGATATCTCTGAAGAATCTTTTTCTTGGTTACGCTAACTTGGGAGATTCGTTTCCTGCCCGAGGCATGTCTATCTTTAATATAACTCCCAAAAATAATATATGTTATCCATCCTTATCTTACTAGTATCTTCTATTTTGTTTTATTGCAGAATTAACAGCGCTCGAAAACTTGGAGATGCTGGAATTAGTTGGATGTGGACTTAGCTCCCTAACAATGCAAGGTATAACTCAACTTCCTTGATTAACTGGATTTGGGCTTATCTTCTATTTTGTTTTAAGTTTGTTGCCGAATTCCCTACTTTTCCAACATGCCCTAGATTACTCACACAAAACTATTGGGGGAAAAAAACTGTCAGGAAGCATAATTAAAAAAAACAAAATTACTCCTCCTTACCCTATGTCAAGAAAGCCAGTCTCCGTTCGGTCCATTATGAAGTGAAAATCTTTTGAAGTACTTATAAAAGCAATAAGTCTGTCATGTTCACTATGTTCTCTGTAGTTGACTTCTAATGGCATTTGATTGTGGTCATGTGCTCAGATTCTGAACTACTATCTAAGTGGAGCAAGATGAGACATCTAGATCTAAGTCGTAATTCTTTCGGCAAGGACATCTTACGGATTTTGGGTGCTCTCCCCTTACTTAAGTTTCTATCCTTACATGACAATGCAATGGAAGGACCACTTTCTAACAAAGGTGCACGTATTTTCTTTTTTTCTTTTCTTTTTTAAATTCTTGGTCTTTAAAGTTAATTTTTTAAGCTTCATTTGTGTGTTGAGAAGACTTAAAAGGAAAATGAAATCTTACAGCTACACTACATATTGGCCAAGTGACTTTTCACATCTTTATTTCCTTTTCCACCTCCTGGCAAGCAAACTGTGAAAACTACGTTTTTGTTTACCATTCTGGTTTTTCTAATCTATCAATGCCATTGTAGACCATAAAAAATTAAAATCATTTTTTTTAGTTGGCCCTGAAGCACTAACTGGTTGACATGTAAATATACTGAATACCTAATAGACTTCATAAATTTAGACCTTATATGAATCTTCAACATATTTTAATAAATTAGGACGGTTTTTGAATCTTCAACATATTTTTGTCCTATTAAGATATTTGGATTGCTCAGATCTGTTCAAATTATAAAACAATGGCTAAGATATATTTCCTCAAAAAATATTCTACAAATATATTTTCTACTTTTTCGCTTCTCTCTCTCTTACTTTTTCCTTTTCTCATCCATCCTTCCATGATCTCATGATCCAACATTCCTCCCTTTTTTTCTTTTTATTTTTTTTATTTTCTCCCGTTTTTATTTTTCTCTCTATTTGTTTATTTTTTTTATTTTTTCCTTTTTGTTTAATATATTTTATACATATTTCCATACAATGTATGTATGCTCGTAATACACTAGAACATTATGGATACACATATAATTTTCGTATAATTATATAAACAAAAGCAATATTGTACGTATGCCCGTGGAAATTGTATGTATATTAGGTACATCTATCTATCTAGCTATATATTATATAAGCAAAAGCGAGTTTTTGTGAGGAGATTTGTGAGAACTCCAAAATTTTATAATAAATTTGTAATTTTATCAAATAAACAAGTAAATTTAAATAGTGTTGGGCATACGCTAGTATATATATATTGTCCCTTCAATTTGGTAATCGAGGTGCTCATAAATGTAGGTTGCAGTGCAGCATCAAATCCAATTCTGTTCATCTCTATTTTCTTTGTTTCAATGTATTTAACATATTGTCCCTTCACTTTGGTAACAGAACTGACTTATAATGTCAGCAATTTGGAGGTCCTCATCCTCTCATGGAATCAGCTCAATGGAACATTGCCAATAGAAGGCAAGAAATTTTTCATTTTAAGTTACATTGTTAATTTGTTTTCAAATGGAAGTCAATTCATCGTCTTTATTATTATTTTTCTAATCTTAAGATCATTTTTGAGCTCTGTTATTTTTGTAAGTTCTTTTGGCATCATTTATCTTTTATTATATGTTTTGGCAGGTTTGGCATCTTTCTACCATCTGAAGATCTTGGATTTGCAACAGAATGGTTTCTATGGGAGTGTTCCTCCATTCATAGGGGCATCTTCTCTGAAAGCTTTATATTTGAATTCAAATAAATTTAATGGTTCTTTACCCATTCAAGGTAAAAATCTACCATGATGGTTTGTTAATGTAATTGTTACAAACTAAAAGCCAGACAAAAAGAAATTTAAATAAAGATGCTAATTTGCTGGGTTTTATTTATTTATTTATTATTATTATTATTATTATTATTATTATTATTTAAGTTCATTGCTTTGTGCTTGTTTAATTTGTTCATCATTGATGAAAACTTTGAACTATCATTACCTTTCCTCTTAAGAGGTAGTCAATTTCTTATAATAGCAAACATTTTAAAGAGTAGCATATAAATTTCTTCTAGCATGACCAGTGAGATGGGCATTACATAAATTTGTTGCTTTTGCAAGTTTTTGTGAATTGAAGAAACTTGAAGAGCTCGACCTCAGCTATAACCACATTGAAGGAATCCTTCCTCCATGCCTAAGCAATTTGACATCTCTCAGGTTGTTTGATGTTTCTGGGAACCAATTCATAGGAAACCATTTATCATCTCTGCTGGGCAGCCTCAATTCCCTAGAGTACATTGATCTTAGGCATAATCGTTTTGAGGGATTATTCTCATTTAGCTCATTTGTGAACCATTCCAAGCTTGAGGTGGTTGCAATTACAAGTGATAATGACAAATTTGAGGTGGAAACTGAATATAAAGATTGGTTACCCATGTTTCAGTTGAAGGTCTTTGTGCTACCAAACTGTAATCTGAACAAGCGCTCTGGTGATTTTCCGAAGTTTCTTCTTCACCAGAACACACTAAGTTTTATTGATCTCTCCCACAACAACTTGGAAGGTTCATTCCCAAACTGGCTACTTGTGAACAATACGAAACTGGAATATTTAAGTCTGCGGAATAACTCTTTTGTTGGTGAATTTCATTTGTCGCCATATTACAATTCTTATACTTGTTGGATGGATGTTTCAGACAATCAATTAATTGGGCATATTCAACTTAATATGGGGGAGATGGTTCCATATCTTATACACATAAACCTATCCAGGAATGCTTTTGGAGGTAGTATCCCATCCTCAATTGGTAAGATGAGAATTTTGGAGGTTCTAGATTTATCCAGTAATAATCTTTCAGGAGAAGTACCGAAGCAGTTAGTCAGAAATTGCAGATCTCTACGTTCTTTAGCGTTATCAAATAACAAATTTCATGGCCAAATGTTTTCAGATGACTTCAAATTGACTCAGATAGAGTATTTACGATTGAACGATAATCAGTTCACAGGGCCTCTGACAAATGTGGTCTTCAATTTGTCTAAACTTTCTATGTTGGATATTAGCAACAACAACATGTCAGGTAAGATTCTAGATTCGATGAATAACATGATACGTTTGAGAACATTGATCATGCGAAATAATGCATTTAATGGTCAGTTCCCATGTGCACTGATTCCAAATGTGTTCATGGACATCTCTCATAACTCATTTTCGGGAACACTTACTTCTTGCTCAAACCCAAACTTGGGAGTCGTGGTGCATGTTCATTTGCAAGGGAACCATTTTACGAAATTCATTCCAGAAGCTCTTACTAATTTATCAAAACTTGTGACATTGGATGTCAGTGACAACAACTTGTCTGGCAGGATTCCCCTGTCCATTAGGTTGCTTGCCAACCTTAGCATTCTTATATTGAGAGGAAACCAATTGGGTGGTTCCATTCCAACACAACTGTGCCAACTGAATAAGATAAGCTTGATGGATCTTTCCAAAAACTCTTTTACGGGGTCTATACCAAGTTGTTTAAGTAATATCACATTTGGGGCAATAGGGGCTACTGATCTTGCTTTCGCTCAAACACCTTTAGAATTTTACAGCACTAGGCATATCTTCTATGTGTATGAAAATGTCCTACTTCCACATCTAGATATGGTCTTTGAGATTGGTGGCCCCGATGGCACATATGATAAAGTAGATGAAGTTGAGTTTATTACTAAGAGTAGGACTAACTCCTACCGGGCTGGCAGCATCCTTAACTTCATGTCTGGATTGGATTTGTCATGTAACAAACTAACAGGTGAAATACCTTTTGAACTAGGGAAGTTAAGTAGTGTTCGTGCACTGAACTTGTCTCACAATCT